TCAAAAATCTCAAATTTCCTTTGTGTAATCCCTAAAACCTCCTAAATGCATTTCAAACGTTTTTTCAATAAAACTATGTAGTTTATCTGTTATTTTCTCTATCCTATCTCAAAATGGGATTGGTCATTTCGACCGACCTTGTAACCACCAAAAAAAATTTAAATAAACCTAAATTACCCTTTTCTTTCTTTCTAGAATGACTTCAAATTGTAACATGAAACTACATTTGTTTATCCAATATAGCTCTAAGTTTGTAACAGTGCACATCTATTTATAATTAAATTTTATTGTTTTATTGCGCTTTGAACTGTGTCTAACTACTGTTTCCACCATTATAAGTTTGGGAACGTGCAGCTCTTGTCACGCTCTTGAATTACATTACCCACGATCTGCTCGCCTGCATGCTTTGGGAACCATTTTAATTATATTATTGCTTATTTTACCTAATCTAGCCATAAATAACCTAAAAAGATTCATATTTATAGATTTTAGTTACTTTTATAATAATAAATATGAAAAACAAGAAATAGAGTACTTACTCAATCTTTTTTTCTTGCTTTCGGGTTGTCGAGGAGAGTTAACTCTAATTTTGTATACTATAGATAGTAATGAACTTACTAATTTTTATTTAATTAAATAATGCACCAAAGAATATAGACTAATAATATGCAAAAAGTAAAAAAATTCACTTGCCTCTCAAAATTTTTCTGGCTTTCTAACTATGCGACAAGGGCTGTTACAGATTCATCCAAGCTAGTCATTAACATTACCATGGGAACGAATCTTGTACTCTGAGTGAAATCGATGCTTATCTGTTCAGAACACGTTATACAATACATCATTTGAAAGATGAGAACTTTTACTTTCTACTGGTTATAGGTAATATATAATGAAACCTAAGGGAGAACTAGAATGAATTGTGTCAGGTGGGTGTGGCAAGAGGGGTCTGATTTTCTATTTGATAGCTCTGTAACCAAACAAAATTGAAGGCTATAAAAATTCGTTTGTTTGAGAAATAACAATTTTATAGAGTATTTTACGTTCAGTTTCATACTTTTTTTGAGAGATGGTGGATAAAATAGGGATGTTGACATGCTAAGATAAAATGTGTCACGTGGGTCACACTAGTGGAAATTCAGGATATTCTTAAATATTGTCTTGTAGAATATGAACTTGTATAATATTAAAATATGGATTATTAGCTAAGATTTTATGCTATTCTAATTTGTATAACATAAACAAAAAATAGTTTAAATTTTTGAATGTAAGACACAAACTTTGTCACGCGCAGTAAAGGGTACCCGGGGCGATAGGGTTAATCTTGTGTATATATTTAACTGTGTAGTGTTATAATAAAAATATAAGTTAATAAATTAGATGTAAAAATTGTACATTGCTGATGTTTGAGCTGAGATACTGGGCCTGATGGTTAGAGTACTTGACTTGCAATCTGTGAGTTGCAGGATAAAAGCTCACTACTGAATATGCTTGACCTTTCAGCCAGTGATGGTTATAATGTGATGATCAGTCTCATTATAGTTATTTGTTAATAAAGAGTAATCAAAGAGTTGTTGGGTGTTACTAGAGAACTGCCTTCCTTATGGTTGGCAATTCAAAAGTTTAATCCTTGCTTCTAGTTTCTTGGGTGTACAGATCCTTTCAGTGATGAAATTACAGAAGTTTCTATTAATGTCTTGTAACTCTTGTATCTGCAAAGAATAATATTCTGTTAATGTTCTTTATAAAAACTGAAGTATATCAACAGTCTGTGTGGTTTATGTTTTCTCCATTTTGGAAAACATCATGTTTGTGCAGATCAGTATCTATATTTTCCTTTCCATAATGCAAAGTTTAAGTGTGAAATGGGGGGAGAATAAACTAATTTGGCTGTAGCAGGCAACATGTGGTTTTCATCTGAAATTTTAAGTGTTGTATTTTTTCTCCATTCTCCATTCCTTCTGTAGCTTTGGCACTCCATTTTTGATTATATTATTCCTCCTTGTCAACTTGTAGACCTTGTGAACTCTTAAAAACAAAATTTTGTATCTCCAGGGACTTGTCACACAGTCTTACTGTAGGTTGTTATGCACCTGTTTTCTTTTTGCATTTGACTTCAGGAAACAAAAGCTGATGATGAGAAATTTAAATTTTCTCCCTTTTTGAGCATAATTGCTTTAGCATGACTGGATGGACCTTTCTGGCAATACAGTTTCCACATTAACTCTTTCAACACGGGCTCAGTCCCTGGGACCGCATTGGAACCATTTTGTGCTTGTTATAGTTTTCATGCTATAACTTTTAAATTAGTAAGCAAATGTTAATGAAATTTGGCAGGTTATC